CAATTTATAATAACAGCTAGCTAGACAGTACAAACCAATAACTACAACTTCTGAAAGAATACTAATCGAATGACCAAGTGACACCACCGCGTACGACTACAAAGTAACCATCATTCCGAAAAGTTTGTCCCTACGCACCATTACAGGACCAAAACTACAACGGAAAATCGGAAATTAAGTTCAAAAAAATTACACTGCAGCGAATCTCCTTGCCAAGCCGCAACTTCCCACCGTCTTTTTTTCTTCCTTTCCCTCCTTCAGCCTGTCAAACAAAGATAAGTTAAATTCGAAAAAATAAATAAATTTTTTCCAATTTAGACTAATAATTACGAGCCTCACAACGCAGTAAAAATGTTACGAATAAATCCAAGCATAAAACCCGACCAACTCGGAATTCTGTTTAGTTTGATCCCCTTTAACTTCATTCTCAGCTGCTGAAACTTCTTCCTTAACACTTTTCGGCGCTCTCTTTGGCCGCCCACCTTTAGAGGTTGTCTGGGTTTCTACCTTCGAATTCGCCGCTTCCTCGTTTTTCAAGTCTGCGGTTTCTTTTTTCAAGTCACTGTCATCAACTACCTAAAAAACCGCCGGAAACGGCTACCATTCGCCGACCCAAAGACGATCACAAAACCCCATCCAACGAAATCAAAGCCAAAAACTGGTTAGCAGTGAAAAAGGCTTGTAGGGGACCAAAAGTTATTCTCAAAAAATGCTACAGAGAACTACTAGACCATGAATACTTTCCTGAAAAAACAAGCTTATAATGCGCCCTCACCTGAGCTTTCTTGTCGTTTGACTCTTGCTTTGCGTCTTGCTCGTTTTCGAAACTCACATCATTTTTGCCTTCAGAAGCACACTATAAAACTCTACAACTTGTAAAGCTTTTGAAAAGTCTTCTGCGAAACAGCTTCTCGACTCAAAACTGTACAGCAGTGGCAAAGAATTCCTTTGCTGGACAGACGTTCAAACAAATCAAAACAAATGGTAAGAAAAAAATGTAGAGGTTTTTTTTAACAGAGAACAATAAACAAATCACCTCAGCCCTTTGGTCTCCAGAACCTTCCTGAGGACAAGCGTTCTTCCGGGCCTTAGGTTTCCTTCCACAAGCCTGCGCTAAGGAAGTGTTACAGCAGTGCGCACATTTGACGTAAAGTAAAATCATAACTGGACAAGATTTTTAAAGGCTAATTTGTCTCTCCAACAGGGGTAATCTAACGACAAAAACCGCAAAAAAATAAAAAAAAACTCACTTTTGATCTAGCCATTGCCAAACCTACTGCAACGATTCTAAAACATGAATGATTTCACTTCAACTGGTATATCAGACTCGAACCGTTCATAAAAATGGTTGATCCAGAAAAACTTCCCATAGTGAGTCAAAAAACCAAACTGTTTTTTTGTTACAAAATTTTTAAAGAGTATTATTGAAAACACTCTGTTTGTTGAAGAACAGCTACGAATTTCCCGTAGATTAAGTTAAACTTTTCCCCAATGGGAGTCTCAGAACAACGGTAACATCAAATAAAGTTAAATACGCGAAAACGTCGTAAAATTCTCCTAATCATGAAAAATAAAGTGAAGTCAGCATTGAATCCAAAAAGCAGTGCATTCAAATCACAATTCGTCCACTGCCTCTGCTGCAGCTGGCACTTGCAATTGCCCAGTTTTCTCCACACAAAAAAAAAAAAAAAAAAAAAAAAAAAAAAAAA